AATTTAATCAAATTCAAATATCTCATAGTTTCACAACCAAACAATATCTCATAGTTTACAAGCCAAAAAAAATTAATTGTCACAAATACATTTAAAAGAAAAAATAGTCGATACATCTATTGGTTGCCAACGTGAGCCCACATATGCTCAACCAAATCATCTTGCAGTTGATGTATATTTTATTATTTCTGGTGTTCGTTGTATTGTCATGATTGAAGATGAATAGATCGAAAGGTTTCTCAAAAAAAGTGAGTTTCCCAATAACGCATTTAATGATAAAATTCGATGAACTATGCAAATGTTGCCGCTCCTCCATGTTCAAGCACAACATTGTCATCCTGAAATTGAAACCCTTGGTCATATATTTCATCCGCACATTCATCATCTACGATCATATTGTGCATGATCACACAAGCAGTCATCACTTCCCATAATTTCTTGGTGCTCCAAGTTCTAGCAGGATACCGAACGATGCCCCATCGGGATTGCCAACCCGCCCATCCTTGATGGATTTTGGTTTCCGCCATGGACCATGACAGTCTATTTCCGTCACCTATCTGATCCCAGGCTCGTTCAGCCCACCCAAGGCATGCTCCTCTGTGACAGACTATTCAGTCACGGATTTACATGACGTGTAGCAGATGAGTCCCATGTGGCATCTCCGTCGATCTGATGTGGCGCCAACGTGGGCCTGACGTGGCTCCAGCGTGGGCCTAACATGGCATCGTGTAAGCCCATGTAGCATTCAGCCCAATATGGTCTGACCCATTTATTTTAGTATGGCGAGGCCTATGAGCCCATTTTACTGCAGCTGGTTGACCCGTTCATTTTGGGCTGGCCCAAAATCATTTACTCTCTCCGTTGGCCATCCCTACTTGTTCAATATGCACATCAGCCCATTAAAATTATGCGCCACTTGTGTTTTTTCTTTAGCCGGAAAGTGTGTTTCAAGGCCCACTTCATTCGGCCCATTAGTGTTTACTCTACCCAACCCGACCCTTCTCACCTAAAAAACGGCCCTTCTTTGTTTTTTACACAAAATGTTTTCCAAGCCTAACATTGAGCTTACATCTCCAGATCCATCACAAATACAAAAAAGAGGCACAATATCACAAAGCACAAGTAACATTGAGCTTACATCTCCACATCCACTAAACATGGAGCAGCAAAATCCAATCAGTTTTGCATCCAACAATATGTAGTTTGCACAACAGAAGCATTACAAAATAAGGTGGGTTCCAGTAGTATATCACATTCACATAGCTTCCATGCATCAAGTAGAGAAGGACGGTTGATCTTGGACAAACAACTTACCCTTGAGTTGATCTTGCTTGCAATTAACTCACCAAAAACTCTAGTTTTGCATCCATCTCAGCTTGCTTCTTCCTGTTCTCCTCATCTCTCTTTCTGTGCTCCTCGTCTTGCCTGGTCCTTGCTTCTTCGGACTCCTTCAACTGCTTGGTCAAGGTGTTAACAAGCGCCTGAAGCTCGACAATACCCCTCTTTGCCAATTCTGCTTGACAGTTGCTATCGCTTTGATCTCAGATGGACATGTTGGATCCCCACACATGCTGAAGAAACCTTGGTTCCTAGTGTGCTTAGCAAGCACTGCAGCTACAACCTCGGTCGCATAGTTCGATTCCTGACCATCTTCTGTAGGCTGAGAGGCCTTGTTTTCCATCTCAGTCTAGCAATGCAAGCAACAAACATGGTTATAAGACGACTTAAGCACAGATAGAGAAGACAACAAACATGGTTATAAGACGGCAAGCAACAAACACGGTTACAAGCCGCAATGCTTTCACATTTTTGAGGCGGTGGCGATCTCGACCTTGGTCAAGTAACGACGTAGGGACCGGTGCAGATCTGCAAGAGCCGCAAATAGAGCGGCTAGATCCGACCAGAGTCGCCTACCACATGCAAAAATTTGCCAGCGCCTTTGACTCGAGTAGTCGCAATCGCGGGCTTGGAGGTGCCGGGACCAACACTCACGCCGGCCGAGAGGAGCAAGAGCCGAAGGTGACATCCCGGAGCTTCAAGAGCCTCACCGAGCAGCTGGGACAAGTGTGGATCGCGATGAACCACCGCCATCATGCACGGAGTTGGAGGAGCCCTGGTGGGCCACCAGGGAGGGCGCAAAGCTAGAGATTCCGCCTGATCCATCTAGGACCGGCGAAGGGCCAAATGGATGGCCAACTCCTCGTTCGCCTCCACGTTGAGGGCATCCCAATCATTGGGGTTAGCTTTAAAGGAGAAGCCGCTACCTGATCCTGCCATGGTGGCGACATAAGGTGGCGAGGGTAGATGATGGTGAAGAGAGAGGACAGGAAGTAGAGTGGTCGAGTGAGTGAGGCTAGAATTTGGTTTGAGATGGGATAGGGTGAGTTTTATGCGTCGTGACTATATCTCGCATTCAGCGAGGCAGTACGATATCTCACTGAAGAGTTATCGGGCCGGCCCATTCACGAACGGTTAAAAAAATACAATAGAAAAGGAGAGAGCTACAGGGATCAAACCCTGCTCTACGAGACCACCCGCGCTGCTAGCCAGTACGCTCACGTCTAGTTTGTGATAACTAGTCAGGGCGAGACGTACTTGATGCGAATGGAGGTAGTTTTCCCACATGTTTTTTGTTTTCTCTCTCTTTTCTCTTTTTGTTTTTTCACGGGGTTTTCTTCTTCTTTTCTCCTGTTTTACTAGTTTTTCTCTTTTCTTTCTTTTTCATTGTTTTTACTTAGTTTTCTTTATTTCTTTCTTGGTTTTCACTGGGTTTTTCTTTCTTTCCTTTTTCTTCATTTTTTATTTATTTTTGTTTGTTTCTTTCTCATTTTTTAACAATTCTCCTTGTTTACTCTCGGGTTTCATTATTTTTATATACACATTTTTTGTATATATATAATACATTTTTCTTACACACATTTACATTTTTAATACCTGATTAACATTTTAAATACTAAATTAATATTTTTTAATACATGGTCAACATTTTTTCTATACTATTCGCAGAAAACATTTTTTCTATACATATTTAATATTTTTTTTGCAATTTTTTTATTAAAATATTTAAAATATAATTTTTAACATTTTTAATGCATAAATAACATTTTTATACACATTTAACATTTTTCAAATACAAGTTTAACATTTTTAATACATGGTCAACATTTTTCAAATACAACTTTAAGACTTTTTTAATACATGATCAACTTTTTTTCTGTACACCTTTAACATTTTTCAAGTACAAGTTTCACATTTTTTTAATATACATGGTCAACATTTATACTATGCACATTTAACATCTTTCAAATACAAGTTTCACATTTTTTGAGTATACATGGTCAACATTTTTACTATGCACATTTATTATTTTTCAAATACAAGTTCACATTTTTTAAATATATGGTTAACATTCTTTCTATACATATTTAATATTTTAGAATAAAATTTTAACATTTTTAATTCATGTTCAACATTTTTTCTATGTACATTTAACATTTTTCAAATGCAAGTTAAAATATTTTTAGTACATGGTCAACATTTTTTTATGTTTGATTAAAAATGTAAATACTTGTTTAACATTTTTTAGAAAGCTTGATTAACATTTTATAAATACATGATCCACTTTATTCACACATTGTATACATGGTTAATATTTTTTATACACATTTAACATTTTCCAAATGAATGATTAACAATTTTCAAACATTATGTTAAGTATATTTTTGTAATATATATGTTTATACTTTTCGGAAGTGTAAAGAAAAGTAAAAAAATGAAAAATGAAACAAAAAATTGAAGGAAAAACAGGAAAAAAAAGCCCGAAGGCTGTGCCTTCCAGCGCATTTGTCCTGGCCCATCTGAACCTGCCTTGATGCGAGGGTTTCCCTAGGTCTCGCTTAAAGCGAGACAAGGGGGGGCTCAGGTTTATGTGGGTTAGGGTGGGTCAACGTGGACCGATCTGTTGTGGAAGCCGTGCCCAGATCGCATACGAGGGATGCGCAGACAAATGGGCTTGGTATAGGGTCCGGTTCGAATTTTTTCTTAGACTGCCTACGCCAACACATAAGGAATGATTATATGATCAACACTTCTTGAATATATGATCAACATTTTATAAATACATGATCCACTTTTTTCACACATTGTATTTTTTTGTATACATGGTCAATATTTTTTCTATACACATTATCATTTTCCAAATGCATGATTAACAATTTTCAAATATTATGTTAAGTATATTTTTAAAGTATATATGTTTATACTTTTCAGAAGTGTAAAGAAAAGTAAAAAAACAAAAAAGTGAAAAAAACCCATAAAAAAACCCAAGGTTGTGCCCTCCAGCGCATCTGGCCCGGCCCATCTGAAGCTGCCTTGATGCGAGGGTTTTCCAAGGTCTCGCTTAAAGCGAGACAAGGGGGCGCTCAGGTTTATGTGGGTTAGCGTGGACCAACATGGACCAATCCGATGTGAAAGCCGTACCCAGATAGCACACGAGGGATGTCCAGACAAATGGACTTGATATAGGAGTCCGGTTGGATGTTTTTTTCTCAAATTATCCGCCCCAACATGTAAAGAAAAGCGGATGGTCCGATTGAAAATGCTCTTACTTCTTGCTATCCCTACCATACCCCACACCGCTCATCCTCTCCATGAATTTGTCCCAACCGGTCTTAACTAAGCCAAATTTGCCATCATTCAGTGCATGGATTTCACATTCAATCTTTGTAATTCATTTATTTTGTTGGTTTCCCGATCTTCTTTCTAAAACCCGGTCAAAATACATTCCGAACTCGCCAAAATATGCCGACATTGCTTGAATCTTCAAAGTCAGTCAAATCTTATCTGAAATCTCAAACACAAATAAAAATGGAAACTTGATGAAATATGGTTTAGTGGCCTCATCTTTTGACATATCAAGCCCAAACTTTAAACCCTAGAGGAGCAAAAGTCTGTCCCCGACCCAAAAATCCCCCAAAACCCTTCCCCCTCGTCCCGCCGCCATGAAGCGGAAGCAGAGCGCCGCCGCCGCCGCCGCCGCCGAAGTCGACGCCGACGAGCCCTCCCAGGCCCCGCTGCCCCTCGACGACTACTCGGGCGACGTCTGCGCCGCGCTCACCGCGCGCTACGGCCGCTCCGCCTCCGCGCAGCACCGCCACCTCCTCGCCACCGCCGCCGCCATCGGCTCCATCCTCACCGACGACGGGCATCCCCTCACCGCCGAGTCCTACCTCCCCGCCGTCGTCTCCGCGCTCCGGGCCGCCGGCCCCTCGGACCCCGCCGCCGCCGCCGCCCTCGCGTCCCTCCTCGTCATCCTCATCCCCCACATCTCCTCCCTGCCGCCGGCCTCCGCCTCGGAGCCCGCCTCCTCGCTCGCCGCCTTCCTCGCCTCCCCTGACGCCTCCAAGCTCCCCACCGGCACCGTCCGCTCGGTGGTCAAGTCGCTCGGCCAGTTGGCCCTCCATCTCGACGCCGCAGCCGATTGGGGCGCTGTCGCCGCGCCTCTGGAGGCTCTCCTCGCTGCCTCGGTGGATCAGCGGGCCAAGGTGAGGAAGCCAGGATTGGAGTTCCTGTTGCTGATATAGAAAACACACTCATGTGCATGCCATTTCTCGCTTTGCTAGGTCCGAAGATGCGCGCAGGAGAGTGTGGAGAAGCTATTTCCTTACTTGGAGCGTTCCGGTTGTGCGAAGAAAGCTAGCGGCGCTGCAATTGACTTGTTTGAGAAACACATTTTGTCGGTGAGAAGTCTTGCCAAGTTGGATTCAGACGCTTCCGAGGCTAAGGAGACGGAAGCGGTTCATATGCTAGGCGCGGTGGCAGTTTTAGTTCCATATCTATCTAAGAAGGCAAGGAAGACGGTTTTCTCGGGTGCTTATCGGCTATTGAAACCCCGTTTTAGCCCACTCACAAGGCATGTCCTCAGGCTTATGGAGGCCTTGTTGGAGCATCTTAAGGCTGAGAATATTGAGTTGGAGTTGGAGAAGCTCATCTCCTTAGTGTTGGCTTACCTGCCTTACGATGAGAAGAAGCCTGATGATACCATCATCGCAGCATTACAGCTGATGAGAAATTGTTTAGGGAAACTGGCTGGTCGCCCAAAATTGTGGACAAAGGTTCTTCCGTCTGCATTCGAGGCAGTTTCAGGTTTGCATCTTCTTGCTTTTCATGCGTCAGGATTTGATGCAATGAGCTTCTTATAAATATACATATGGCCAGTTAAAAGAAGCATGACTCCACAGTTGACATACCTAGGTGTTCGTCGTTTAGGAATAATGAGTTCTTCTAGTTATCATAATTTTTTCATGCTGAACAAGTAGTCCTCAACCATGCTTTGTCCATTGTTATATTAAATGGGTGCATTAGGGGGCAAACTTATCTCCTCAGTTATGAAAGTTAGCACTTGCCATCTTGTTTTTTGGGTTGCCTTTGAGAGCGTATCTGTTCAAAGTTTGCACACAGTCCTTATGTCTTTGACCTTTTCAACACTTATGGATTGGTGATAGATGTATCTGGGTTTATCTTATGTCACATATGTATTATATAATACTTACCAACTTAACTTATTTGTCATGCTTCTCAACTTGGCAGGATACCTAATTCTGGACAGTAAATGTTCTGAAGATGTAGCGGAACTGTTAATAGAGTGCATCTGTTCTCATGTCGACCAAAGTATTTTTGTGACTAATGAGTCAGGGTGTGATGCTGAGGATTCGAGTGATGGGGCTGCCATCAAATCAATCTGTTTGTCTATCAACAAAAAACTTAGAAAGTGTGCTTCTCCTCCTCAAAATGTGTTAAAAATTGTCCTGGCTATGTTTCTCAAACTCGGTACGTCTTCAGTTATTTCAAGTTTTCAACAAGAACATCTCCTGCCTTAATGATTGGATCAATTAAGTAATCATTTGAGAGAGTCTTTTGAATTCCATGTAGTAGTTACCCTGACTCTATAAGGTTTGTTTTGTTTAACGTGGTTTACCCCTACATAGAACATCACATGCCTTTAATATTATCTCTTGCACATATATTGAATTTTTTTGTCATTTTGAGTACAAATAAGTACATGTGGTGCTACAAAAGGTACATCAAACACAATGCTAAAGTAGTTAGTATTTACTCCTGCAAGGCTGCGACTACCTAGCAAACTGTTAAGACATATGAAAGGTTGACAAAAATCTCCAAGCACCTTTTATCCTGCCATATTTTGTCATGCATTGTGTACCCTTTCCGCATAACTGTTCTTCCATTTTTTTCATAATGTAACTGTTATGTTGATATTGCCCCGCTTTACACATCACCACTTTTGATTCATCAACTCTTTGGTATTTGTTAATTCGTCTGCAGGGGGGAGTTCTTATGTCTTTATGAAAGATATCCTACTAACTTTGTCACGGCTTGGCTCGAAAATACACAAAGAACCACACCTGAAGAATGTAAGTTCATTTCTAGATTATTATCACGTCCAAAAAAGGGAACACCTTAGTTTTGTATGTACATCACCTCTTGTGACCCTAAAATATTACTCCCTCTGTTCCAAAATAGATGACCCAACCTTGTACTACTTTAGTACAAAGTTGGGTCATCTATTTTGGAACAGAGGGAGTATCATATTTGTTCTCCTTTTCCTTGTTTTTCTGCAGATTTTATCTTTTTTCCCTAAACATGTAAATTTCACATGATTGGATAATACTGTGTTGATGTTATAAACTTGTTCCTGATTTTTTATCACCATTTACGGCACCAATTCGTCGGTGGTATCACAATATATCACTAAAGAGCGGTATCACTAGATATGTTCTCCTTATTCCATATAGCGCAAAATGTAAATAACAGGATAGAATGGTTTAGTATATAGTCAATGTTTACTCCACACATATTTGCACTTCACATTTTTAACCTTCCATTTAGCTTAGCTTTTCTGTTGTCACGTTTGCAGGTTGAGGAGTGCATTGGGGCAGCAATAGTTGCTATGGGGCCTGATAAAATTCATTCTCTACTTCCAATATCTTTTGAGGAGGCTTGGTTTACATGCTCAAATATGTGGATTGTACCCATTTTAAACAAGTATGTTTATGGGGCCTCACTGCAACACTTTTTAGAGTACATTGTACCGCTAGCAAAATCGTTACAAGAGGCTTCAAGCAGGGGTAAAGACAATTGATTCAATAGGTGCTAAATTCACATGTTAGTATGTTACACAACTTCATGAATTTTTCCTTTATTCTTTCAGCCAAAAAAGCACGGAAATGTAAGGAATTGCAAGGTTGGAGTGATCAATTGTGGAATTTGCTTCCTGCCTTCTGCCGCTGTCCGTCTGATGTAGATCAGAACTTTGGTTCCTTGTCCAAACTGCTGCTAGAGATGCTGAAGTCTGATCGGTGTCTCTACAAATCCGCTAGTAAAGGCCTGCAGGTTTAGTTCTATACACTGTGATTCCTTATATTTAATCTTATAGACTCGTATACTACAAAACTGCTTCATTTCTTCTCTCAAACAATTTATCTATTGTTTGCCAGCAACTTATAGATGGAACTAGAAGATTAAGCAGCAGTGATGAAGATGTAGAAGTCCCTGCAGAAGTTTCAGCCTTGTTCTCCTCAAAGACTAGTAACTTAAGCTGTGTAAGCTTACAACGGTGCTCTAAAAAAGATGCTCGTAAAAGCATGAAAGTCTTGGCATCACATTCTGTGGATCTTCTTTGCACTTTTGCAGATGATTTCCTTGAATCATCAGAAAAGCGTGCTCATTTAAAGGTGCATCACTTACTCAGTTGTTTATTTTACCAGATGATTCTCTTTATAATTTTTTATTTCTCCAAACTACTTGACTCAGTTGCATACGCACATTTTGAAACAGCATCTCATGCTTGTGGACAAACATTTATGATTCGATTAATCCGCGCATGTTAGATGCATGGATCATGGATGCCTGTTAAGATGTTAGATTTAGGAAACATTTTGTCATTGTAAAGAGAGGCCATTAGAGGCATGTATGCTCGTTCAGTTTGAAATTTAAAATCATAGGCTGAGCTCTAAGTTTCATGCAGATGCAAGACTAAGTGCATTGTGGATAAGGGAGAAAAGAGGACCTTTTGGGATCCTGTTTGCCTATCCTTACGGATCCTTAATTAAGTTGCCGCGTGACTTGAATTAACTAAACAGTCGCATGACTATGAAGTGTGAAGATTGCTTTACAACATGTAATGTAAAACTCATGCATGGAGTTTCATTTCTGCATAAATGAATAGTTTTCTTGTACTTAATGATTGTTCTATTTTTTCCCCTGTGTATGCCGTGTACATGATTTAAACCTTGTTGTTGGAAGACTAAGTGCAGACTTGTGTAAGGTGGTTCTCACACATGTTAGAACCTTAAATCTCTGTGTAGGACAACAGTATGCCTCCAGCTCTCCTACCCTGAAAGTTTTTGCTGCACTATGCATTTTTGGCAAGATCTGTTACTACTTGTAAGCGTATACCTTTGTTTGGAAACAAGCATTTATGGGCCACTACTTCTCTTCAGCATGGTTGAACAATTCCTGTGTTACTTCGCAATGGTTATCGATCAACACCCCTTTTCAGACCATACATTGTGTGATATTTATCGGGTTATCTTTGTCATTTTACAGGATGCGCTGAGATCCCTGGCTCAAATTTCTGGTAGCGCAAACATCTGTAACCTTTTTCTTTCACTACTTACAAAATGTGGTTTGGAAGATACTCCATCGACACCAGAGAATCTAGAATGTGAAGCAAATGAGGTAGATGGAAAAGGCGAAGAGAATACTGATTCAACAGCGGAGATAAATCATAAGAGGTTTGCTATTTATCCTAACCCATCTGTAAGGTCTGATCTTTTTAGTCTAGGTTAAGCATTCTGTAGAAAAAACACAAAGTTAGTAATACCAAAATATCAGGTTCTCAGCAGTGTCAGAACTTTCTACCATGTAAATAGGTACCTACAAGCCATAATTTTATAAGGAAATCAATGTTGTTAATCTGTAACCTACTAGGGCAATCTTCCCATCCAGTTAAATAATATCATGACGCCGTTCTCCAAATAAATAAATAAATCTTGGAACAATCATGGCATCGAAACTAGGATTTTTCTTGGAGTTTTACATATATAGGAAGTTTCTTATGTGATTATATGCATCATCATGTATGCATATGTGGTTACTATGTGGTAGCCAACACATAAATGCATCCCATCCGGAAGCTTGTTGTGCATGATATATGATTATGATTTTGCTTGTGCAGGTCTCTACTGATGGAACTCATTTCAACACTAGCTGAAGCTGCCGATGAGGATGTGCTTGATTTGTTTTTTGGATTCATCAAATCTTCTTTACTGGTATCCTTGCTAATCTCTGCTCTTATTATGCCCCAATGTCCAACTGTTAGTAGGGAGTTCATTGTTCATACTACCTATCTTTTCTCCTCAGGATAGCATCAAGTCATGTGAGAGCAAAGCTCTCTTCGCATTAAGCACAATTTTGAAGGTCAGCATGAGTTCCTCATATCCAACTTTCAGATTTGAGATGTATTTGTTTGCCTTTAACCCCTTTCTTTACTTTCAGGAACACCATGAATATTCGTTAGCCCAGTTGGATGAAATAATGATGCTTCTTCATGGAATAAAGCCAGATTCTAACAATGCAGTTTTAGAAGGTCAATTAGTATGCTACAAGTATCTGTTGGTTCACATGATTAAGGTATGGCTGTTGCACTTGTAAAAAAATGCAACTACAAATCTTTGAGCAGTGAGCACCATAAGAGCACAAATACTTGTTAATTAGAGGTGCACCGTTCATCTATTAATGTTCCATTGCACATATTAGAATAACATGACATCTTAGTTTTGCAAAGTGGATATTATGGACCTTGGTCCACAGCAGGATAAATTGGCTGGGATAAAAGGAGAATAGGGCAAATATAACGGCACTGCAGCAGGGCTCATCCCTGACGTAGAAGAAGAGGCTCTGAGACTGACCTTTTGGAAACTACAAGGCTTCCTTGTCCATGTTTGCCAGCACCTATCCTGCTGCCACTACTGTATCTTCTGGAATACTAGCCATACCCTAGTAGCTAGCAGGCTAACTCAGCCCTACCCTACACCTTCCTTAGTGGACGCACATGTTGCTGCCTTGGACATGCCGGATGGCCATAGGGCCCTGGCCCATGACCATAACATTGGATGCACCTTCTACCAAGAGAGCATCAAGCATCGGCATGATGTTCTTTGACTGCAATACTGCATGCATGTTTTCTTGTGTTACTTTAGTCTAGTTCTATGCTTCGTCCATCCTGCTTGCTGAATCATGTGCCATGGTTTTTACTTAACTTCTACCATTCTGAAGGTTAATGAAGAGAGCACAAGCAAGAAGGCATTCTTGATTCTAAATGAGTTAATACTTGCATTGAAGGTGTGTTACCTATCCTCATATTTTGATCAATTATCAGTTGTGTATTAGTCTGCTAACATCATGTCATACATAATCACCATTTATACAAGGATAAATTTATACTGACTTAAAGCAAGGCCATGAAAAAGCTCACGTGATAAGATTCTTTCTTCCTCTTCTGCCATCGACTGCTTTGGTTCATTCACACTGTTTTCTTTTAAATGCAGTCTAAGAAGGAAAGTAGAAGACTAGCATACGATGTACTCCTGGCTATTAGTACTAGCTTGAGGAGTTCTGAATTGAATAACGGAGATTCAGATCTTCAACGGCTATTCACAATGGTTAGCTAACGAACTTCTTCTCTACTCTTGAGATATTTTTCCTATGTTTCTTTGATGCGCAGAGGTATGGTGCCACCATGTTTGAGGAGACAACTACTTCTTGTTTTTCCTGTTCCTAACCACTGTAGCTCAAATGTTTGTTTCGCCTTTCATGAAAGAAATCTAGCAACCTGTTCTCTCCATTTATACCATTAAATGATAGTATTATGATTTATGAATTGCTGCGCCCATTAAGTCCTTTCATAAATTATAAAATACTGATGCCTAGTGCATGAAGTCTATGCAAGAACAATTCTTGTGAAAAGCGTCAAGCTAAGTTGTAGTTTTGCAGCATCGATACTTGAAAGCATACAGTCTATAAGATATATGGTCTGATTTTGAGAAGAGCAATCTTAGAGTTCTGAGAACATCGTGATGATGTTGGACCATTGCCGTGATGGTTTTGTAAAGGGCTAACCTGCATACCCAAGTAGAGATCTATCATACCTATATAGTTTCTTAGATTCAGTAGTTATTTATGATGTCTGCTTTATGTAAAGTTGTAAGTAAGCAATATAGTTCCACATGGCAGGAGCATTAGTCTGTCTCATATGCAGGATTTCCATTGTTGAAACATTGAAAAAAATCAATTTAGTCAACTTTCAGGTGATGGGATATCTTTCTAGTCCGTCTCCTCACATAGTGAGCGGAGCAATAGCTGCACTATCATTGCTTATATACACTGATGCTGATTTCTGCGTGGAAGTTCCAAATTTGATACCGTCAGTCCTAGTTCTGCTGCAAAATAAAGCTATTGAAGTGATTAAGGTGGGTTCTGTGTCTTCTGTCTGCCCTGTTGGGTTGTTTTCAGTTCTCCTGTCATCGAAGAGTCTGATTTGTTTTATTATTATATAAAAATCTAGGCATCTCTGGGGTTTGTTAAGGTGTTGGTAACATCTTTGCAATCAGAAAAACTGTTGGGTTTGCAAGCAGATATCATGACTGGCATATTACCAATGTCATCTGTTACAAAGCACCATTTCAAAGGGAAGGTTAGTCGGTGCAACTGTTCCATGGTTTAGTTTCCGTCCATTTTGTATGTTCTGTATGGTGCGCTTAACAAGATGTGTTTTGATATTTTGTACGCAGGTTATACTAATAGTGGAAATATTGATCAGAAAATGTGGATTTGATGCCATTGACTTGGTTACACCTGAAAAGTACAAGGAGTTCGTTAGAAGTGTTGAAGAGGTGAGATTCCCTTAACTAGTTTTTTTCTTCTTAATTTTGCTTTAGAAGAGTGATCCATACGTTTTCATCTGCTGAATGTTTTGTATACCTTTTTTAGCACTAAGCACGTAATGGTTTTGGCCAAGCTACATTCAGCCTGTGATTGATCCATATCCATCAATTTTAGGTTAATTCATCAAATGTAAATGTTTAGTGAGAATTAATTCCTTCATAATCTTCATAAGTTCATCATATAACTCACACTAGCTATTGAGTGCAAAGATGCCGAGCTCTTGTTTGAAGTGTTACTTTTCCCCCCTCATGTTAAAAAGTTACTCGAGCCCTTGATAAAAACGTTATTTTCCCCCCTCGAATAAAAAGGCGTTGCTCTTTAACTGCAAACTTTTCAAAAGGGAAAAAACAGCAAACCATGAGGCCACGAAGATTTCAAACCACTCCCTCCTCGCGTACTGAACTTGAATTTTGCAGGGCCGCAAGGGGAATAATAATAATCCAGTAGATGGTGCACCGTCCGAGGCGAAAGATCCCGAGCATCATGCTCCAAAGAGGTAAAAAGCCACGGCCAGCCCCTCCTTGCTCTTCCTTCACAACCCGTTGCTTACGCCATTTGGCGTGTGTACAGAGGAAAATGGGCCGATTCCAACGCCGAGTCTGGGCAAGAGGAAGCGCCGGCCGGGAAGAAGGAATTCTTCGTCAAAGGGGCGAGGAAGCCTCACTTCCGGGGCGGCAGAGGCAGAGGCAGAGGCAGAGGCCAGCAGCACGGCAGAGCGTCAGGCGACAGAGGTGGTTTCGGATCCAGATCCGAAGCGCAGTCAGGAGACGGCTGGAGCAGCAGAGGCGGCAGGCCACGGGGCCGCGGCACGAGGCCGGGGAACGGCGGGTTCAACAGGGCGCGAGGCCGCGGCGGCGGGAATGGGATGGGGGGGCCGGCCAGCCACTCCCCTGGATTCAAGAAGCCCAGAACCGCGGCGGCGGCGTCATGAGAGATCAGACAAAGTCGCTCGCACCGCCCAGCCATCGCCGTGAAGGACATGGATTTTAACCGTCCCGTCATGAAAAGAGTTTCCCAATGGGCCCGTGCAATTCCGGTGCAGTTTAGCCGGGCCCCATGGGTGGGATTGACAGTGGGGAATGCTTTTACGGAGCAGTGTATCCGCGTTGCGCGGTGAAGTTTTGCCTGGTGTAAAACATGCGTAGCGAGCTGTAGGATTTTGAAAACGCCAAACACTCTGCACGCGGTGTCGCTTGCTTCCTCGTATTTTTGGTTGGAAAGGGATGCTCCAGCTGCTTAAGCGTGGAAGAATCGCTGAGATATTTTGGGGCTAGTGCCGTGCCGGCTAGGGTGGGGACGGGCCGGAGACAAGGACGACGTGGCTGGATGGGTCATCTTGAGTCTGGTCATAGCGAGAAGTAATTTAGAGCAGTAACAATCAGTGGCGGCTCCACGAAATGAAGGCTAGGTATTCATTCAATTTTTTTTTTGCTCTAAATGTAGTATATGAACCAAATAACACAACACTAGCAATATATGAACAAAACAACACTAGCACAATGACAATAGCAATGTTTCAATGTACCAGACCATAACGACATGAATACATAAGTATCTTTTGATTGATAAAGTGATGATATCCTTCTTACAATATAACTTTGCGGTCTCCTTTTTGGAAAAGATTGATGACATCTTCATCCTTCACTTACTTGAAAAATTCTCTCTCAACAAATGTAACCAAACAATTGTTCAAATATTCATCACCCATTTTGCTCCTTAGCTTATTCTTCACATGGCTTATTGAAGAGAATACCTTTCAACACTAGCAGTAGCTACTGGCAGAATCAATACCAACTTAAGAAGCTTGTAAACAATATGATATTGTCCATGCTTGTTTGTCTCCACAAGCACAACTGAAAGTTGACACAGATTTTTCAGGTTTTGAAACCTTTCATCTCTACGCACATTAGTAACATACATGTTTAGTTGCCATGAAAGCCTTGCCAGTTCATCACTTGTAAAATCAAAAGCATAAAACTTTGTAGCAAGCCTAACCAACTTCTCTTGGTCATAAGCAGCAAATAGATGAAGTGGACAGAATGTTGCCATGCAAGAAAGTAGCTCTGTGTTTACATCATCAAATCTGCCATTCAACTCACTGATTTGCCTATCAATGACACCCACAAACATATCAACCTTGAAGCGGTGGTAATTGACCACACCATTACATAAACCCCTTCTAGGCCAGCCAACGGGAAAGTAAGGACCCTCCATATCAACAACTTTGATCTTATGCTTTGTACAAAAAGATGTGACCTTTGTGAGAAAATCATCCCATCCAGCATTGGTCCTCAAAGCCTCCAAGTAATACTTTGTGTCACGAACAAGCTCAATAGCATGAACAATATCTTCGTCTTGCTTTTGCGAAGCTCTACACAACTCATCTGTGTATCCAAATTTTTCTTGCATCAAGTGTGCCATGAAAACAAACTCAAATGATCGAAATATTGTCTCTATGGGTAGAGCCGCTAGTGCCTCCGCACCATGGTACTCGTCTCCAATCTTGCGAAGGACTCGTCGTAGTGCACCATACATAGAGATGACATGGTTCACAGTTTTGAAGTGAGAGCCCCAACGTCTATCACATGGACTTCCCAAACCCATTTCCTGTTTCAGCCCACTCCCTGATTCTACTTCTTCCAATTCCAATGCATCAATGAGTTCTTCAGCCTGAGCTATCCGAAGCATTCTCATCTTTTTACAAGACATGCCAAGAGCATTTAACAAGTGTGCAAGCTGCTGAAAAAACCAAGTACAATCACCACTCTCCTTAGCAACAACAACAAGAGTTAACTGTAGTTGATGGGCAAAACAATGAACATAGTAGGCATAAGGGCACTCATCCATAATCAGTTTTTTCAGGCCATTAACATTACCTCTCATGTTACTAGCTCCATCATATCCTTGCCCACGAACCATCGAAAAGGTCAAATTGTAGTCCATAAGCATTTTCTGAATTGCAGCTTTTAGTGTCAAAGAGGTAGTATCTTCAACACGAGCAAGACCAAGAAATCTTACAACCGCCCTTCCTTTCTTATCAATAAAACGCAAGCAAACAACCAATTGTTCATTCTGATACACATCACTAGACTCATCTGCTAGTATTGCAAAATGACCACCATCAAGTTCTTCAATGACTAATTTAGTAGTCTCTTGTGCACAACATTTTATCACCTCTTGTTGTATATCATGGTGAGTCATCTTGCAGTTCCGTGGAGCATTCTTGAGAACAACCCTGTCAACCTCTTCAAAAATTCCTGCTAGCCAATTTAGAAGCTCAAGAAAATTTCCTTTATTTAATGAGTCTTCACTTTCATCATGTCCTCTAAATGCCAAGTCTTGGCGCAATAGAAATCTCACACACTTGAGTGTCCATGTCAAACGTTGTTTATACAAAGCCTTGTATTGTGAGGTGTTTGAAGCAATAGACTCCCGAATTGATGTTTGTGGTGTAGTGAACCTATCATACTTCTCTTGAGCTTCAGCATGAGCACCACTAACCTCGCCTTCATGTTTCTTCAATCTCGACTTCATGTTCCAGTTATTAAATCCCTTATTCGCAAAAGCATCTCCATCGGGACATCTTGTTTTATCCTTGAATAAATAGTAAACGAAGCAGAAATCTCTATGTTTTTCCACACTATACTCAATCCATGGAAATTCTTTAAACCAAGCACGGAAAAAGCGACGATCTTTCCCACTTTTATTTGTAAACTTGAACTCATGATTCTTTAGTTGACATGACCCCATCTCAATATATCTCCTTCTTACTCTATCTTGGTCATTGACAGCATACACTGAGATTGGAATCCGCTTTCCAGGATCATGTTCGAGTGCCTCCAAATCTGCTTGCATCGGTTCATCATCTTCATCAATAAATTCATCATCTTCTACATGAGGCGTTGAGGTTTCTCCTCTACTCTCCGGTTCTTGCCATAACACCAATTGCAATTTGCTCTCCAAATGAACAGGAGAAGTACAAGTACTAGATGCAGCTACGGTCTGATTCGGTGTGGATACTTCATCTATTTTCCTTGCCTTTGAAGCCTTTTCCCACATTGCCAATATGCTACTGCCAACAATTCCACTCCTCTTCATCTTCATCTACGTTTGGCCAAACAAGGGGAACATAAATTTAGATACTTGCACCTGTTAAATAGATCGACTGCCTGCATCTAGTAGTTTCAGCAAATCAAGAAATTCCCAAATTGGGGGCGAGGCCGCGAGGGCAGAGGTCGTCGCAGCTTTTGTTTCTGTGCCGCGAGGGGCGGGGCGCCGCTGCCAGGTTTGCCCATCCCTGCTCGTGGTTTGCCCATCCACGCGAGGGGCGGGCGTGGGGCGGGGCGCCGCCGCTAGGGTCGCCTCCGATAGTTGACATCTACCTCTGGCGGCGCTTCGTGCGGGAACGATGCGAGGAGGGGTCGAGTGCAGCGACTGGTCGAGCGGAGGGCTGGAGGCGTCGGTGCGAACTAGAGCGAACCAGAGATTTCGTGGGCTGCGTTTGCTACTTTGGTTTGGGCTGAGATGTATATAAATTTTTTTCGTCCAAATCTTGGGTATTCCCGTGCATACATAGGCATACACTTGCCGCCGCCACTGGTAACAATGCATATGTTATCAGTTTATGTTACTATCTTCATAGTGGGTACTAGTAAATATATATCATGCAAGTCGTCATTTGTTAAGATGTATATTCATTCTCATTGGGTTGTGTTACGCTACTTCAAACACTTGGCTTCACATTAACTACACATGCCAGATAAGTAAACTTGTTCTGAGATGTGTTATGTTACTCGCTAAGTTAGCAGATTAAGGACGGACGCGCAGTCGGTCCAGAAAAAGAAGAACTTTCTGA